CCACACTGTTATGCAATCTTTTCAGAACCTCTAAATAGAAAGCATGATTAACAGTCTGACCTGGTGGAATGAACTCCAAATGCACTCACTCTCCCTTCACAAAAAAAACAAACAAAAAAACAACAACCCTAATGAGCATTGTCTTGATCTTTGATTTCCCTTGAGGAGATTTTTGCGGGGAAGGTGATGATGATGATGCTTTCCACTGGCTTGATTGACATTTGCTTTAGGGGACCTAAGAATAGCACCTTGTCTCCTCACCGGTAATGACATTGGAAAAAAAGTCTGAGTCAGGGCTGTTCTTACAAAACATGGCATGTTTCCACAGGACATTCTTTTTCCTGGTCAGTCAGAAACAGACACAAATTGCACAGCAACCCTTCTCATTTCCATTAAAATTTGCTACACCAAACTCCCTGATAGTCCCAATAACTTCCTCATTTTTTTCTTTCTTTAAAAAAAAATCATTTTATTGGGGGCTCGTACAATTCTTATTACAATCCATCCATCCATTCATCCATTGTGTCAAGCACATTGGTACATTTGTTGCCATCATCATTCTCAAAACATGTGCTTTCTACTTGAGCCCTTAATATCAGCTCCTCATTTTCCCCCTCCCTCATGAACACTTGATAATTTATAAATTATTATTATTTTGTCATATCTTACACTGTCTCATGTCTCCCTTGACTCACTTTTCTGTTGTCTATCCCCCAGGAAGGAGGTTATATGTAGATCCTTGTAATCCATTCCCCCTTTCTGCCCCACCCTCCAACCCCTCTCAGGTATCCCACTCACACCACTGGTCCTGAAGGGGTCATCTGTCATGAATTCCCTGTGCTTCCAGTTCCTATCTGTACCAGTGTACATGCTCTGGTCTAGCCAGATTTGTAAGGTAGACTTGGGATCATGATAGGGGGGATAGGAAGCATTTAAGAAGTAGAGGAAAATTGTATGTTTCATCATTGGTACGCTGCAACCAATGGTCGTCCTCAGTCTTGAAGCACAGTGCATGAATTTTGTTGACATTTCCATCAGTTCTGGAAGTTGATGGATGTCCAGAATGAGGTTTATCATTTTGAAAATTAGAAAAACACTCATACACTTGTTTTCCCCATATCATTGTCCTTGTAAGCTGTGTTCAACATCACAACAGTTTCTGTAAATATTTTCCCAAACGGGAAACAACATTTCACAGCACACACAGTTCTCTTAAATTGGCCATCACAAAAAAATGAGGTATGAACGAAGCTGCTTTTTCAAAAAAATTACTGGTCAGAAAAAACCTTCGTAGGTGACGCCACTGGGTGCACTAACTCAGAGCAAGTTTCTTGACGCTTGCCTAGTGGGAAAAATGTGTACTATGAAAGATCAGCCCAGATGAGCTTTTCTCCGTTTTTGTTTTGTTTTGTTGGGGGGAGGTTACCCCCTCATATGCCAAAATGTACAAGTCAAGAACCATAGATTGACTCATCAGTATAATGTCCAGGAAACTTCCAAATCTAAACCATTTCCCTTCTTTTGCAGAAGGCCCATTTAAAACATTTCTACACAAATATTCAGTGTGCAATATAGGTACCAAGCAAACAAACACACAAACAAAATCCCCAAACTCACTGCATTCAAGTTTATTCTATCTCATAGACAGAGTAGAAATGCCCCCAAAATGTTTTCAAGGCCTTAAATATTCACAGAAGCAGACTACCAAATCTTTCACCAATAGAGCGATCGATAGATTTGAACTTCTGTTCTTTTGGTTAGCAAAAGTCTTTACCTCCCAATATTACCACAGCTCACGTAATTAATCATGAAAACGTTTAAGATGATGTTAGAAAGCTGTCTGAGTCAGCTCTAACTCATAGAGACCCTACGAACAAGAGAACAAAATACTGCCTGTCCTCTCACCATTCTCATAATTGTTGTGATACTTCTGCTCATTGCTGTAGCTATTTTGTTAATCTATCTGAGAGGTTTCAACATCTTTCCACTGACCCTCCATTTTACTAAGCCTGGTGGCCCTCTTCAGGGACTGGCCATTCCTGGTAATATGCTCAAAGTACATGAGACAGAAGTCTCATCATCCTTGATTCTAAGGAGCATTCTGGCTGTACTTTCTCCAAAATAGATGTGTCCATTCATCTCGAAGTTCATAGTGTATTCAATATTCTTCATGAACACCATACATTATCAATTATCGTTCTGTCTTCCCTATTCAGTGTCCAGTTATAGAGTACACATGGTGGTTGGAAACACCTTCATGCTCAGAGTGACATCTCTGTGTGTCAGTATTTTAAAGAGGTCTTTTGCTAAGAAATTTCCACAATGCAATGTGTCCTTTGCTTTCTTGCCAATTGCTTCCATGGGAAATGATTGTGAACCCAAGTAAAATTAAATCCTTGACGTCATTCATTCTACATTGATCATGTCTTCTCTATGTTACAGTGTGATTCATCATACTAAAGCCGATACTCTTTGATCTTCATCAATAAGTACTTCCAGTTCTCTTCCCTTCCAGCAAGCACAGTTGGGTCATCGAAATATTTAATCCTAATGCTGGGTTGTTCTTCATATAGTACAGCTTTTCACATTATTTGCTCAACATACTTATTGAATTTTTAAAATCGTTTTATTAGGGGCTCATATAACTCTTATCACAATCCATACATGCATCAATTGTGTAAAGCACATCTGTACATTCATTACCCTCATCATTCTCAAAACATCCGCTCTCCACTTAAGCCCCTGGCATCAGCTCCTCATTTTTCCCCTCCCTCCCTGCTCCCTCTTCCCTCATGAATTTTTGATAATTTATAAATTATTATTTTGTCATATCTTGCATTGTCCAACGTCTCTCTTCACCCACTTTTCTGTTGTTCGTCCCCCAGGGATGAGGTCACATATAGATCCTTGTAATCGGTTCCCCCTTTCCAACCCACTCTCCCTCTACACTCCGAGTATCGCCACTCACACGACTGGTCCTGAAGGGATCATCCTCCCTGGATTCCCTGTGTTTCCAGTTCCTATCTGTACCAGTGTACATCCTCTGGTCTAGCCAGATTTGTAAGGTAGAATTGGGATCATGATAGTGGGGGGAGAGGAAGCATTTAGGAACTAGAGGAAAGCTATATGTTTCATCGTTGCTACATCGCACCCTGACTGGCTCCTCTCCTCTCCGAGACTCTTCTGTAAGGGGATGACCAGTGGCCTACAAATGGGCTTTGAGTCTCCACTCCGCACTCCCCCCTCCTCATTCAAAATGATATGATTTTTTATTCTAATGATACCTGATAGCTGATCCCTTCAACACCTCATGATCGCACAGGCTGGTGTGCTTCTTCCATGTGGGCTTTGTTGCTTCTGAACTAGATGGCCGCTTGTTTAACTTCAAGCCTTTAAGACCCCAGACGCTATATCTTGATAGCCGGGCAACATCAGCTTTCTTCACCACATTTGCTTATGCATCCATTTTTCTTCAGCGATCATATCAGGGAGGTGAACACACAATGATACATATTGAATTTCTATGGATAAAGAATGCAATCCTGATCCAGGAACAGGAATGGGAAAAGCAATACCAGAAGGGTAAGGGAAGGTGGGGAGGGGATGGGAGGAAGGGGGAACCGATCACAATGATCGACACATAAACATACACACACACACACACACACACACACACACACACACACCTCTTCAGAGGAGTGAACAACAGAAACCATGGGGGAAGGTCAGTGTAAGATATGAAAATAATGCTAATTTATAATTTATCAAGGTTCACGGGTGGGGGGGGGGAGCAGATACCAAGGGCTCAATAGAAAGGAAGGATTGATGTAAGGATTTTATAAGAGCTCTAAGAGCCCCCAATAAAATGATCTTTTAATTAAAAAAAAAGAAGTAGAAAAAAAAGAACATTAATCCTGATGCACAACTTTCCTGATTAAAAGCAATGAAATACTCCCTTGTTTTATTTGGATGGTAGCCTCATGATCTATAAACTGGTTCTACATGGGCACAATTAATTGTGGATTTCGCATTCGGCCAACAGCTTTCTTGTATTTACTACTTCTAGTCATAATAATATCCCTTGCTCCTAGTACTCTTAGGAATCGTCTTGAATGTACTGTGGATGTACTGCTGCTGTCATTTATAATTCATCTATGGATCAAAATTATTTTATTGACTCATAAAATATTTTACTCACCGGGATGACATTTCTACAAAAACCAGAAAATCTGATTACGCAAGAGGAATCTAAGGCCATACTTCTGAATGAGAGTTGATTTTACTTCCCTGAGAACATTTGGAGTCACTAAATGGAGCAAATGCTTAACCTATTTCGGCTCTGAACTAAAAAATTGAAGTTTGATGTAAACCAATTGGCTCACAAAAAAATACCTGGTGATCTACATCTCAAAAAAACGAACCTTAAAAAAACTCTGGCATAAAATTCTACTCTAACACATAAAAGTACTATAAATTGGAGTCAATTTAGTGGTGATGGATTTTGACAACATTTGGCAAGCCCTGGAGATTTTGGTTGCCACACTCAGGTGAAGGTACAGTAAAGCCCAACAATGTTGCCCAACATATCACAATGCCCAGGACTGTCCCCTGCAAGAAAGAAGCCCCCTACGAGTCCTAAATGTCAACGTGTTGATTTTGCGTAATTCTATTCTAGTGCTGAATAGAAAAGAAAAGGGATGTAGGAGCAATACAAAATAGTCATTATCCATGTCCCGTCATGTGGGACATAATCCATGTCCCTTCTTTCCATACTCCCCATTCTGGGTCATACAGAGAAACAAGATTCTAAATCAATCCCATTATATGCTTTAGTTATCATTCCCACTGTGAAGAGAACTTATTTATTTACTTGTATTTATAAGACCTTTGGAGAATTAATAGAAATCTTCCATGATTAATTAATTAATTAATTACTTTAATATATCCATTGTGTGCCAAATTAGAATAGCTCTCACACAATTTCTTTATTTTTCTTTTTCTTGTGTAGGAGAAATATACTACTACTCAACCTCTACTGTAAGGTTGGTAGCCCTGAGAACTCCTTTATTAATGTAGCATGTTATGGATGTCTTCCTGCCACACAATTTCAAATAAAGCAATCCCTATGGAATATGCCAGCCTCTGGAGAAAATGAGGTTGTCTGAGCCCTCCAGAGGTCACTCTGAGCCAGAATGAACTCAACAGAAGTGGGTTTGTTTGCTTGCTATGGATTACAAAGCATTAACGATCTCTCGGTCCGCTTGTTGTACTTGGTGAATTGTGTTGCCATGATCCTGGAAGCTATGCTAAATAACTTCAAATGCCAGTGAGGTCAAACATAGTAAAAGATTTCCGTGGAATGTTCAGAGTAAGACATACTAGGAGTAAAAATCTAGTGGTGGGCTTCTGAAAATTAGTCAACAAAAACCTTATGGCTCACAATAAAGCATTGACTTGCTTGATTTAGACGCATCTCCAGGAGGAATCAATTGCTAGATGGGGGCATTATGCCTGGTGAAGTAGAGGGCCAGCAAAGGTGAGGAAAACTCTTGATGAGATGGATTGACACAAAAGCCACAAAACGGGACTCAAATTTGCTGGCTAGATAGCATTTCATTCTGTTGTCTGTGATGTCACCGTGAATCGGTGACACCTCTGCAGCAGCTAATAATAGAAACTGAATGGAATAGACAAAAAGCCGTAGGAAAACAGGAATTCTAACCTTTTCATTGTAGAAGAGCCTATTTCAAATGTATGTAATTAATTTTCCAATGCTAAGGTCCCAGGATACAAAGACTGACTCCTCACTTTCACAGTCTTTGTGACTACTCCACACTTTAAGCAGCAGGTGGACTGTCAGTCTTTGGCTTCGTCTTATCCTTATCTCTGCGATAATACTTTCTTTTAAAAGAATTAAGACCAGACTAGTCCCAAGGAGTTGGAGATTAAAGATATCCCAAATATCCCTCTCTCCCAAGGTGATATTCTGCTCCATTTTTTCCCACGACCCCCTTGAATATATTCTCTTAGGTCCCAGATGCTGTGATTCACTGCAACCTCCCATGGAGTCACAAGACCCTAAGGACATGCCTCATGTGGTTGTGGTGCTATTCAGTCCCAAATCCAACGGCCAAGGAGAGACGAGCTAGATGTGGTACCCAGAGCCAGAGCCAAACAAGTCTTCTTGTTTCTACCAAAGCTAAATAAGAAATAGAGGTATGGCTTTCATGGGGGTATACTTTTTATCTTTTAGCCACCTCTACCCCCAAGGAAAACAGAGGATGGTGTCTTAAATCACACCCTCTAGTGCAGTATTCTTCAAGATGCCCCGAAGGAAACAAACTTGGCTCAGAGCCTGTAATACTATAGAGTCTAACGATGGCCCCAGGGAAGCCAAGGATGTGACTTGGTTCATACCTGGTAGTAAAGTCAGGGCCTTAATATCACCCTAATCCTGGCCATCAGTATAGCACAGAACACCCTTAAAAATGGAATGATAGCCACAGGCAGATAGTCTAGGAATAGAATCCATTGCATGAGGAATTACGGCTAAAAGGGCCATATAAGTTTACTATAATTCGATCACCACTAACATCAGGTGGCACTGCATTCTTCTATGCCACTACCTACTTGATTAAAAATGGATTCAAATCTGTTTTTCGTTGAAGCTATAAAGAAGTTTGGGAGAACCTCCTGATACATGTCATCTGAAAAGCAGCGGTCACGAGAGGAGAATTAAACTGTGCATCCCCTGAGCAGAACGTATGACCTAGGGCCCCTCCCTGCTTTGGTCTCTGGGAGAAGCTTCATGTTCATATTCTTTGCAACAAAGGATCTCTGTCTCAGAGTTTCTATCAGCTAGAATTTGGGAGGTATAGTCAGATACTTTCCAAACGAGAGAAAACCAAGGTGATAACGAACAAATTATCCATCTTGAGATTTGGGCAAGAAATTGATATTCTGGTCAAACTATTGATACATGAATGTGTGTACACAGTACCACTCTGAAGAACTTAGTCTGAAGACCTCTAAAATAGAAGAATTGTTAAAATGTCAGTAACAGCTCTGCTAAGAATATGGCAAGTGTGAGACACAGTTCCGGAGGCCAAAGGAGCCAATCTGCAAAAAAAAAAATTCAGGGTGACAGTAAATAAAGTCTCAAGGTAGCAGAGAACGTGGTTGGGGTGGGCTACAAATTTGCGTTCAAAGACTAGAGAAACATAGATGTACGTTGTTTCCTATCCATAAGTTTCAATGCCTCTTCCAAGTCTAGATACTGCCCGTTTCTGATGAGTAGTTTCAAACTTAACAAGAAATTTAAACATCCCAGTAAAGTGATTTAAAAAAACAAAAATGTTAATATCGATGAAATAAACCAGGATAATGTTTTAAAAGAAAGAAAGAAAAACTCCAATACAATGAGCACCGTCTTTAGCATTTATCCTTGACCTCATTTAGAAAATCTCTCCCAATTCTAGATAAAAGCTGGACAAGTGAAAACACAAATCACATTTTGTAAGATTGTCATCTATAAATTTTCCCTTTAAGCTAAACATAATTATAGCTATTCTTTGTCATGTTAGAATAGGAAGATGGAGGAGCAAAGTCCCCAATATCTGTTTGCAAAAGTATTTACATTTGGATCTACAAGCAACATGGATGAGGCACCACCATTCTATTCAGACAAAATTAATTCAACTTGAAGGAACACTGAATTTTGAATGCAAAAAAAATTGCTTTCAGATGTGGAGGGGGTTCTTCAAAATGTTTGTGGGAAAATGGAATTAAAAGTAATGGGATTTTCTCCAGAATTTTAAAAAATCCTCTCAGACAGCTCTAATTCTTTAAAAATTTATACTGGGAACAGAGCAAAGAATAAAACAAACAAAATCCCTGCCCTTGTGGGTCTTAACATTCTTGGGACATGGCCTTGCAATGTGGTGACTATTCGTGTCCCTATCAATGTGTCTATGGTTTACTTACTGTTCCCCACTGCTTAAGTGCACACAGAGGAAGGCACAGAAAAAATATAAGATGTTTCTGCACACACACAAAGAATTCACAGTGTAGGGAAGAGTATATATATATATTGACAAATTAGATCACCCTGAGGAGCAGTGATTAACCGAGTATGAAAAAAAAAAAATGAAGGAAATCAAATGCCTTAGCTGATTTTTGAGAATAAAGAGGTGAGTTTGGCTTTTGTGATTGATAATGATAGTCAAACATTAAGTACTTTATAGACATTACCCCCTTTAATCATCATAAAACCATGAGGAAGTTACTTTTATTTTACAGCTTGATTTTATAGTTCAGGAAGTAGAGACATAAAAATGTTAAATTATCTGCTCCAATTCTATAGTTGGTAAGGAATAGAGCTAAGCTAACAACCCAGAAAAATCAGAATCCATGCTTTAGCATGCCATCCTTCTCTGTTAACCTGCCTCTGGAGATGAAGGCAGAGTGGAACTTTGATCAATAGGCAGGATTAGGAATATATATGAAAATATAAACAAAGAGTAAAGATGTAATGAGAATAAAAAAATCCATAGGACAATGAATATCTTCTGTCAGCAAATAGTAAGTTAGTGGTTATTGAGAAATCATAGTATCCCCTGCCCCTCCAAAAACTACCTTTCATTTGAGTGATTTACAAAATATAAAACTAATTAGGAAATGTATATATTTCTTAAATAGTCTGTAAATGCTGAATACTCAAGAAATTTCAAAATAGTTCCTTTGGAGAATAGGAAGTAAACAATTAAGCGCTGTAAGTTTAAAAAACAAACATGGCTTGAAAAGCATGCTGAGGCTCCATCAGAAGTTGTGGAAGGACAGAATGGAGTGATGTGTGTCATTATAAAACCCAGTTAGATACCGGAGGGTGGAGGGAGGGGGTGTGGAAAGAGGGAACCGATGACAAGGATCTACATATAACCCTCTCCCTGGGGGATGGACAACAGAAAAGTGAGTGAAGGGAGACATCGGACAGTGTAAGATATGGCAAAATAATAATAGTTTATAAATTCTCCAGGGTTATGAGGGAGTGGGGAGGGAGGGCAAAAAAGTGAGGAGCTGATACCAAGGGCTCACGTAGAAAGCAAATGTTATGAGAATGATGAGGGCAACATATGTACAAATGTGCTTGACACAATGGATGTATGTATGTATTGTGATAAGAGTTGTATGAGCATCCAATAAAATGAAAAGAAAAAACAACCCACTTGGATCACCAACTAGGCTTCAGTGTGAATTCTTACTCATGTGAAGCCAAGGTCCAAGGTATCTCCCACCCAAGAAATCTAACATACTCACGATTAAAGCTCTGTGTATGTCCGACCCCACCCCCCAAATCCTACTTTTCCTTGTTAGAGAGAGAGAGTATTTATATGTCATGCTGCATATACTACTGCTTTTCTTATACATATTTCTGCATCTGCTGCCAAAAATGTAGGTCTAAAAGTATCTACTAGAAAAATGGGCACAACTATAGATCCAGCACATTTCACTCATTTCTATCTTTCCTGACCCTTGTAGGAACATGAATTCCAGCTTCAGGGGGAGAGATGAAAGTACTCAACAAAAAAAATGCTCAGCCATACTCTTCCCTCAAGTGTCCACCTAGATTGGAGACTGAAGAGGAAGAGGAATTAAACATCTTCCATTTTATTGCTCTACATAAAGAATTAGAGCAAGAATATGAAATTCACATGGGTTTAGGGCTGAAAGGACGCGACTCCAATCTTGCACACAAGGGTGTGTTCCATAGTTTCTACAATGTTGTGTTTTCTCTTCAGGACAATTCAAACCGTGTGTATGTCAGACTTCCAGTTTCTATTCCAGGTGTAGAAATTAGCCAGGGCATCATTCCCAAATTAAAGCAAAATAAATCTTGGGTCATAAAAATGTACAACTTGTATTATAGCTCACAGAAGTTGGTCACAGGACAATCAATTAATCCAGGATCTGGGGAGAAATGGTACCTGCAAAGAGAGTCAGGCCATGAGCTGACCAATTTGACTGTAGACGAGTCTTTGCTTGAAGGATTTTGCTTGGAAGACTGAAGAAATCAGAGGAAGAAGCCAACAAACTGCTACAGTGTGAATAAAGCCTAATTTGAGGGCTTAGAACCTGTGCA